TTTGCAACATAAGCGAAGTAAGGAAAGAAGGTAATATTGTAATTCTTAATATATTGGTATGTATCCTTGTATATTGTAGCAACATCGATATATATTGCTGATATGTAAGCTTGAGATTAGAGAATTAAATTTCGAATTATACGAAAACAAATTAAGTGAAGAAGATGCGGAAAGGTTATCTAGGCAGTTACCAAATCTTGCATACTTAACTGACAGTCACAAGGCTACAATCATGAAATATGTGGGCACGAAGCAAAAGGAAGAAATACAGTTCTTTATCAGGTATTGTTGCATACGCAACCTATCAGTCATGATCTTTACGTTCGATTGGATAGTTTGTTAGAATTTTCATTACTTAAAATATTTATAGGCTATGCAAATATTTCGATGGAAGACACCATATCGAAGATATCATGTACTGGGAAAATTTGCCGCGCGATGAAATCTTTGAGATACTAAATAGATTTAATGAGATTACTATCACGTTTTGGTTAAGAGACATTGTGACAATTGCGACCTAACTCTTAATAGTGTAAAGATTAAATCAAATTATCGTGGTATCACGAGCAATTGTTCCAAACCGTAGGATGACACAAAAATTCCAATGACTGGTATTGCAATGAAAAATTGTTTCCAAAGTCTACTTTGTGGTTATCCCATACCATTGCTGACATGTAACACCAAAATGTTTCAAGGCTAGGTATCGAATTATTACCATACGAATGCATAGTTATGGCGTTACCAATTTGAATACGACAACTGTAGCACTATTTAAAATTGAAATTTACTTAATTAAAGATAGATGGTTATCGCACCCTTGTATTGAGTTGGATCAGCTATCGTTGTGATAGTTAATAGATTTGTACGCTGATATACCATGTCTGTACAGCCTAATGGATCCAATTCTATTTATATTTTATTAAGTCATTATGCTAGATCATAATCATACGTTATTAATTCAAGTTTAAAACCCAAGCCAGTCGATGCTTGATGGTATTTATCGCGACACTTTCAGATATAATCGAGATGGCGTGAACATCCAGCGATATTTATGAATACTTTATTGTATATTGCGGGAGACTTGTTATATAATATCTGGTATAGAATGAATTAATAAAACTATTTTTACGCTTATTACGAATTACTTCATTCTACTGATTTATCCCCTGAGCAATTCTATTTCTATTCCTCTCAGGAAGCCATAAATTATTACTGCGAATCACGTGTGAGCTGCTAATGAATATAAGTTTATTATTCATGTTCATGTAGACTGTCACTAACTTACGCCCAATCATCCATCTGCTAAAACTATTCCAAATATTAGATAGAGAAAATTCGTATTATTAGTATAAATAGTTCTCTCTGCGTATACAAATTAGCTTATTGATGGGAACCAAAAGATTAAAGTAGGTATACAAAATCTTTTACAATTATAAGTTGAAAGAGTGTTAGATTAACGAGCACGAAAATTTGGGGTAATATTTAGGTGTAATTGTAATTTATGGAGCCTTACTAAATGACTATCAATCTGTAAATAAATACTATGTCACATTTTACAAAGTATCGTCAGTTAAAAACTTAAATAAGATAGAATATTTTCGATACGAAGTATTCCAATGGAAAGGTGAAAAGGATTTGGGAGATATGAACGCTAAAGATCATCGAAAACTAAACTTTCAGACGAATGACGATTGGATTAACTCCTGTCTAGAAACGTAAAGCTTAAAGTTTCCACCATATCAAGGCTGCCTTATTGTCACTTTATCAATGGACAAAAGAAACTCAGCGGTAATATGCTTCTACGGTT